GGATAGAAAGAGATCCCATGAGTGTGGCTGCTTGGTCTGGCTCCGGCTTCACATCGACTTTCTCCACCGGAGGCTTATCTTCTTCGCTGTTTTCCTTCTTTACTGGATTATCCCCTGGCTTGACTTTCACATCAGGCTTCGCATCTAGTTGGTTGACGAGTGCGGCGATTTGCAAGTCTTTCTCCTCCACAGTCCGTGGGAGTTTTACGATCGTTTCATTCATTTGAGCCAGTTGTTCCTCGATTAAAGTTGCTCCGGTAGTCATGACTTGCATGGCTATGCTGCTGCTGCTTGAGTTGGCATCGAAAAGTAAGGGCTTTGACTACTTCCTCAGGTTTTCCTCTCTCGGTGCCCTTAGGGGTGGTTTGGGAGTGAAGTGCTTAAAAAAAAAACACCCATGAAAAAAAGCTGTGAGGGTTTTAGATGTTTGGTAAACTGAAAAAAAAAAAAAAGGCTTATTTTGGAAGCTGCTGTGAGAATAAGCTGAAATCAAAGGAAAAAGCTGAAGCTGCTGCTATTTGCAGCTTTGGAAAATTGGTTTTTTTTCAAAGCACACGGAGCTACAGTGCTCCTTTAATGAAAAGACCCACTATCAGACTGCTTTTTTTTTTTTCCAAAAGCACTTTTACAAAAAAGTTTACCAAACACTCTGCTGATTTATTTCACAGCCGTTTATTCTCACAGCACATCCGCTTATTCTCACAGCAGCTTTTTTTCAAAGCACAGCAATACCAAACCAGCCCTTAGCGAGGCCAGGGTGATCACGGGCTCCTACCTCTGGTGCTCTTATTCCTTCGACGGAGTTGATGCAGGGGTGGAAGAGGCGGCAAAAAGAGCTATTGCCTTACTTCGAGTTGTGACGCTCGAAGTGACACCACTTGCGGTGATGACGCTCTTATTCTTTGCATTGGTTGTGAGAACATCTTGAACCTTCTTTGATGCCATTTGTGCTTTTTACGGATTCGAAGATAGAGATGAGAGGTAAAGATAGTCCCACCGAGCGTGCCAAATTTGTAAACACTGAAATTCTTGCGATGAATGAGACAAGAACAAGTGTACAAAATAATATTTTTTATATTGATTTCTGGGTTACAATCTCTTTTACAATTTAGTCCTCTAATTCTATCTTCATAAAACGTAGATTTGCAGATTGTGTTGTTGATCCAAATGCCGTCAGGGTTTGATCCTGGATGAACGATTGATGAATGATGAACACTTTCTTCAAGGGCCGTCGGGGCTTGATCTTGAATTGGTGGAAGTTTTTCAAGGGCCGTTGGGGCTTGATGTTGAAGGAGGATTTCACGAAGAATAAATAGAGCTTTCTCGATCCTTTGGGATTTGCTTGAGAGTAGAGAAAATGTATGTCCATTTTGTCCCTTGATCCTTTGATGGAGAGGCCTATTTATAGGCTTTGAGAATGAATTACCACAATCCTTTTGCTTTGGTGGATGTTGTAGGTGGATTGGGTGGATTGTTGTAGGTGAATTAAGTGTATGGTATAGGTGAAATGAGTGGATGTTGTAATTTTGATACAATGGTCAACATTTATTTTACCGAAATTTCAATGTCTATAAATGTAATTTTAATGCAATGGCTAACATTTATTTCACTGAAATTTCGATGTCTACATTCCCGTTGTGGTATGTCATCTCTGTTTGATTCATCTTCGTTGTTTGATTCATCTTCTTGATTATCAAGTTGCTTTCTTTTATTCATTTTCCTTTTTTTGTCGTCGTTTCTCTATAGATTCTTCACGTGGCTATTGAGAAGAAATGGCATCCTTAATCTGCAAACAGTCACATTAGATAGGTGTCATTTTATATGATAAGTAATTATTTTTGTGTTGAAAAATACTATTTTCAAAGTGAAATATATTGATTATTGGTGATTACCTTGATTTTTTTTTTTTTTTACTGAGATATCCTTGATTGCTTTATGGATCATGTTTGTGTCCCATTTTGTGATCGCCGAAATCATGTTTTCTCGTCCTTCTATTGTCTCCACTAGATTTGTGTGAAGACATATCCAGTACTATATAAATTAAGTAACTGATGTTAGTTTGTGCAAAACTTTGTAAGAAAAAATTCATGTTATTTTTATTAACTATGTTGGTTACTTACCAAAACAAGGATGGTGCATCCACTAGTGGTTGGTTCTTCTCCTTCCTTTTTTTTTTATTTGCTTTTCCAAGCATTTTGAACAGATAGTCTCTTACTCCTTTGGCCCAATTGTACTTGTTTATCTGCTGCAAGTTCGTACAGATTTTCAGGAAACTCTAGGTGATGTAGGTTCCAAAGTTTGTAAACAGCAATGATTGAACAAGGTGTGCACATATGAGTGAAGCAATATCTTGTATGCCCTTAGGTGTTTTGTCTAGAAGTGTTTTCTCATATGCCTCTGCAAGATGCTTCTTCTTGACTACCTTGACATCTGCGAAGTACTTTTTGATGAGGTGATCATCATCACCAAATTTGGTTGATTTGTCTGTATTCGGCATATCGATTCCTTCGTTGTTCAATCCAAAGATTTGGACAACATCATTGCTGGAAATCCCATGTGCTTTATGACGCCCAAATTTGAACTTTTGGGTTGTTGGGTTGTAGCAGTTAATGATTTTGATCAAGTCCATGTCGGACTTCCTCTTCCTTTCTGACGTAATCAAAGCCTCATCCATGTACGTTTTCAATAGACTCCAAAATGGCATCTTTGCTAGTTCATTACAGACATCTTAACGCCATTGTAATATAGGGTTGTAGATTTTCATTGCTTCTGCAAACCCGGTCATATTGTATCTGTACTAGAGGTATTCCTTCTTCTGTTTAGCTTCTTTTTTCTTCGTTTTACCCTTCTTTGCAGGTTTTTTTGTTGTTTTCATCTTCAACAATGAAAATTGTTAGGATACTATTTATTGAACTATAACAAAAAAAAAAGCATGTTATTTATGAAACTATAGTAAATAGACTCACTCTATTTTATGTAATGTACCAAACCTCATTTGGAAAAAACTACACACAAATGGCAAAAAGTAACCAAAAAATGATAGAACTCACAGTATTATGAAATATGTCAAACTATTTATGAAATATCCCACACTATTTATGGATATAGAACAATATAACCCACACTGTTTATGAATTATGCCACGCTATTTATAAGGAAAGGGAGAAAAACAAAACAAAATCAACCTACATTGTTTATGAAAGGGATCAAAACAAAACCAAATAAATCGACATTATTTATGAAATGGAGCAAAATGAATATTAGTCCAAAATAGCCACCAATATTTATGAGAAATAACAATTAAGAACTGTTTATGGGTATACCCACACTGTTTATGTGGAAATGGATCAAAACCGAAAATTATTTATGGAATTTAAGCGTAATAACCTAACTATTTTGTAAAATAGATGAAAAATAACCCTCAATTTTTATGAGATCTAACAAAATATACACTATTTATTGATCTAAAACAATATAACCCAAACTAACTGTGGATTTGAGGCAAAAATAACACACAATATTGCTTGAACTATCCTAAACTTAAACATGAAATTGAAAAATAGTAGTGAACACACAGAATTTCAGTTTCGAATATAATTGATTAGTTATCAAAATGCAATTTCTAATTTAAAATTGATAGATAATATGGAATCAAGAATATGCAAACAAGGATTTCAGTTTAGTACCTTTTGTTTGGAGGCAACTTGTTGCTCCTCGGGAGCTTGTTGTTCAATCTGAAGTTGTTGATCATTGAGAACTTGTTGTTCGGCCGGAATTTGTTGTTCTTCTGCCATTGTTGCTCGTCGGAATTTGTTGTTCTCGCTAGGTTCTTGTAGATTTTGGTTTGAAATTTGAAGTTGGAATTGGGTTTTACGAAAAGGAATCTGAATTGTAGGGGTGGTTGGTGCAATTAATGGCGGTGGAGTGGTGGATTGAATGTAGTAACCGTTATTTTTGTAATAGGCTTGGGTTATTTCCGTCATGGTCATTTTTGGGATAATAAATGTTATGCGGGTTGGGCTTTTAGTTGAGCCCGCATTTTTTTTTGTTTTTTAAGGGCTTGAGTTATGTCCTTATGATTAAAACGTAAACCCTTTTTATTAAATAATAGTTTAGGATGGTTTTTCATTAAATAAAAGTTAGCCCAAACCCTTTCCGTTAATACTCTGTTTTTTATTTCCTCCCATGCATTTTCATATTTAATCTTATACATTGTTTTCGATTTATTTAATTCAATTCAATGAACATAAATAAAGAGAATAAAAGATGTGTGTTGAAGAAGAAAAAAGACGTGTGACTATTATTTCCCAACAATAACTGCGCAGTAAATAGAAAATATGTAGTAGCCATTTTTGTATTGTTAAATTTGGTAAGTCGACTTGTACTTTGAACACATAAATTCCCTAAAAATAGGAAGGCCAATCCACATTACACTTTTACATTTGGGAGAAAATTATTATGTTTTCTTTTGACATCACCGGTAGATGAGTTTAAATTTCGAGATCTGTATAGTAGATAGACACAAATCTTAAAATTTAAACTCATTCAACGGTAATAAATAGAGTGATAAACATTATCACCACTTGAGAATGGGTAGCAAAAACGCACCCTTTATTTTTATCAATAGCATCTTTGCATCTTTGTCAGTTTGTTGTGAAACGAATTCATTAGTTATCCTTTTTTCTTTAAATAAGTAGAATTAGGATTAGAGTTCATTACAGATTTAGAATATCGTTTGGTGATTAAGTAACGTAATTCTTTGGCTTCCAAAAAGAAAAAAGTAACGTAATTCTTTTGAGTATATTTTTAATGGGAATAAGAAAAAAAGGTAGGTAAATTATGAGGGAGGAATAAAAACAAATTACTGTTAATTATTAGTTTTATATTTGTTTTTATTGCTTTCAGTGTAACACTTGTCCCTTTTATTTTTATGATTAGAAATTAATATTTACAAAAGCAATTAATAAACAAAAACAAAAGTTAATTAACATGACCAAAGGGAATGGATTCAATTCAATCACAAGCAAAATCACATCCAGAAGCCATGGCAAAACAAGAGTTGGAGAAAGAGGAGAAGAACAATGGCACAAGAGAGAGACCTAACAAGAAGGATGTGATCATCACTGTCTATGTGGAATCTCCGGCATCGTCTGATTCTCATCAGAAACCTGGTCCTGTCAAGAAGATTAACCCCAAGCCGAGCCCCGAAAAGCCTCATCAGACTGCGCAAACACGAATCTATGATCGCCGGGCTCAACTCCTTGCTTATTCTCAAGAGCTAAGAACAACTGGTGATGCTCAGAAAGTGCAGTGGACTAACAACGGTTCAAAGCCTAAGCCTAGGGTAAGGTTTCATGCATATATAGATTATTTGGTACTGTTGATACACTGTTGATTTCTCGCCAATAGTCGATTTCTGCTACATTGTTGATCTCTATCGATAGTTCGTTGAAATTTGATATCAACAATATAACAGGTACCATACACTTCTCATATTAGAATTCATATGATGAACTTAGAAATTATCAAACCTAAATATGTTTCTTTTGCAATGCTATATTGATCATTTAGTTGATATTTGGTATCGACAATGTAGCAGATACTGTAGTGTCCGCCAATCACTCTCCGTAGTAGAAATACACACGAGTATATAAATTATCAAACTGAAAATACATGTGTCCTTAGCAGGTGGGAAACAAAAGGCTCATAACTCCAATAAGACACAGAAGAACAAAGAGCAGAGGGAGATATCAACGCTTAGTACCAGAAGTGGACGTATATTGCAATCCCAAATCGATCATAGGCAGGAACAAAAAGGCCATCGGATCAGAAACAAGTTCTAACTTTCTGGTAAATCGCGTACATTTTAATCAAATTGTTTCTGCTTTCCTTTCAGCAATTGAGATTTGAAAAATGATCGTTTCGACACTATCATTTATATTTCTTTTTGGTAAAAGAATTCTCATTGTATATATATGTTTTTATTTGGTGTGTTTGAGCAGAGGAAGCTAAGGTGTGTGCTGAGAGGAATTTCTGGTTTGCTCTGCAACAAAGGGTCCAAAGTTGCAGAGAGAAATTATCATGCTATTTGATTTAGAATTTTTAATGTTAGTTTGCTTGAATGGGTCTTATGTCTTTTTACCCACTTATCCAGTTCTGTTTGTTACAGAAGTACATTTAAGATCCATCTTTTACTCCATGTGTAGACTTTTTAAACATCTTGCCAAGTAAAAAATACTCAAAACAAGGGCAGTTACTGCAGAAAAATTTGTAGTAAGCGTGTATACAGAACAATGTTTAGCTCCTTAAATAATATGAGCCGGGTATACTAAGTGTAATAATACAATTAGCTTAAAATATTTATTTTTTCTAACCAAATGTATTATAACATATTGTGTAATGAGTTGTGTGATAGGATTTCGACTCATCACCGTGTTCTCAACATACTGAAAAATTTATCCTTAGAGACACATTGAAAGTATCATATCAATTCCATTTATTCATAGCCCCGCAGAATAATAAATCACAATTTGACAATTTTGAATAAACTTTTTTCTTTAATTTTAACAAGCTACTTTTGCACTGTGATTTGCGGGTAATTGGGAAATCAAATTGCATTGGGGGGGGTAGAGGGTCCAAAATAAAGGAGGGGTCCTTAAAAAACCACATGGTGATTCACATCAGGAAATACATTATTCCTCCAGAAGCTGTACACCAGCCATAATTAAAATTGGCAAAAGAATCAACACAGCAAGTCACTGAATTCAGAATTTAACAGAAGATAGTACACAAGCACAATTTTTACCCCTGTTGAATTACAAAGAATGACCAATCAATACAACCTACGAGGAAAATTGAGCACGAAACTGCACTAAAATATCCAGGGTTTATGCCCTGCCATCTGCTTTTCCTACGACCTGTTAATCACAATAACCCGTCACTCACAGTGTGCAATTCGATCACGCAGAAGCAATGATACGAAACCACAGAGGCGGGGTTCAACTGCCTAAGATTCCAATGAAAATGTCAATAGTTCTAACGCGTACCATAACAAGGTGCATCAATGAGGCGAATGCATTCAAACAAACAATCGCAAAAGTAGAATGCAGTCTTCCCCAACTTTAGGCCAATTTTGATCATAAGAATCGTCCAGGTTCTCTAATTCTACGCTGCACACCCCCACCTCTAAGCCCGCCAAGCCTTCGTACCACTCCCCTGCCTCGTACAGAACCACGTCGAGGTGCAAAGGCAGAATTAGAAGGCGGAGCACGCGAAAAATCATTGTTCCTTCGAATCGTGCGTCGTGAGAAGAGACCACCAATATCAAATGAACCAAATCCAAAATCATCTGAGTCGCTGTCATCATCTAGCTCCGAATCAGAATCACTGTAAATGCCATCAGGGTTTGGCTCCAGCACATAATCCCCCATGATCACTGCCCCCGGAGTAGATGACACTATTGTGCTGATAACATCACTTCGCTCTCTCTCAGACTCAAGCTTCCTCCATTTTTCTTGAAGTAAGGGATCCACTTCTCGGGGTCGTGCCAATGGGTGCTTTGCCTTAACATGTTTTCTGAGCTGTTTATAAGTTCCAGCAAATGAGCAATTTTCCTGCAAGCATGTTCTCTTCTTGGCATCAAAATATTGTCGTGCTGGTTCCACCACTGTCCAACCCTTCACTTGCCCCCGACATAGCGGGCATAAAAGCTCTGGTACATCTGTCTTCTCCTCGGGCTCCCCTTCAGTTGAACTGAAACCTAAATTATCCATTGGTCCATTCCATGGTCGAGAATTTTCAATTGAACACACTTTTGTGTACGCTTTCTTGTATTGTTCAAGACAGTTTGAAAAGCGATGGCCAGTGGCACACATATATGGGCGACATCCCTTATTATAAGAGGAACAAAGGAGGAGAACAGCATTGTGAGGGAACTCCATGCAGACTGAACAAGTCACATCTTCCCAATCTTTCTTCTCCACTGCTTTGTGAGGTTTCTTTTTTGAATGTACATCTTTAAGAACCTTTAATGGATGCTGGATCTTCTTTACAGCTCGGGAGTCATGTTTACATTGCAACTTGTTAACTTTCGCCATTTACAAACACAACCTGAAATTCATCAAGAGAAAGAGAGAGAGGGAAAGAACATTATTCTTACAAATCTTCGACATTCTAAGAATAACAGATGAGTAAACAAACTAGGTTGCTTGGCATACATCTCATGCAAAACAAAACGCATGTGCAAATTGACGCTAAGATTTGCCTACTGACCTTTAGGTATCAAACACATCCAACAATTATGTCCCTAAAAAGGAATGATGAAAGTCTAATTAGGTTCTCTGAATATTCAAGATTGGAGGTCCAAGTCCAAAATGCTATTTGTGTGGTGTCATTCTTGAAACACGAGTCCATTTAATGTAGCAAATCAAATTTTTTGATTTAAAAACAAAATGAATTTTCTGTATAATTGACAAGCGAGCACAATTCAACCGTTGACAACTTGCAATTTTGATATACAATTTATTAACGTTACCATTTACAAACCACAGTTCATCATTTTATTTAGCAGGTAATATTGAGACATTCAGCAATAACCAGATTACAGAAGAAGTGAAAGTAAAATGAACAACAACATGGGATTGTGAGATCAAACGAGCACAATTTTTTCCGTGCAGCAGCAAAACCCCCATGAATAAAAGGGAGGGGGTTATTTAAAAGAAATCAAGTTTTGCAGTGTATCTAAGATAAAATTATAAAAATTTCCATATAGATCTTTGAAAAGACCTGGCTGGCCTAGCTTCATGAACTTAGGAAAACAAAAAAATGTCAACAAATTCATGGAGATCCGACAAAATGTCCAATGACTGCCATGATCAAATTTAGTAGCTATCATATTGTTAAAGAGAACTCACTCTGTCAGTCTCTGCATAGGAAATATAAGTGCATACCAATAGCTTGTGCTTATCTTACTAGAATATAATAACGTAGGGAATAGTCAATAATACGAGCACAATCTCACTTCTTTTTATCGGTACAAGTTAAAATGATCATCTGAAGCATACGTACCAGGGCCGACAAAATACTGAAGTAATAGTAAAACAAATTAGGATTCAGGATTAGAAATAATCTAAATACATGGGTTAGTATAAAGTTGCAAGTGACAATAATTTGACCATTAAGAAACCCTTTCAGAGATTAGGCACTACAAAAATTAAAAACATCTGCTATGTTTTCACTTCTGCAATTTATAGCCTTTTCTGGGTTAAAATTGATTATATACCGGCATCAAAACTAAAATGACTGCCCAGGAGTACATCACAGAGAACTACATTTTTGCAGTACCCAACCTGAAAAGATTACATCTTTTTTTTACTAAATTGTTCTAAACTAAGCACTAATTCGAATAATAAACACTTCCAAAAATGTGGGAAAAGGGCGAATTCAAGCATTCATCTCCTTTCAGGATCAAAATGTCACATAGATAAATCAAAAGTTTAATTACTTACTCAACAAAAGCAAAAAACAACCCTAATTTGGCCGGCCAAAGGCCTCATCTCTACAGTTTATGCAATCTGAGATCGACTGTACGGGTCCTTCAGAAACAGATTGTACGGACGAAACCATGAACGAACAGTGAAAATTTGAAAATGCAAATCTACATGTAACACTACGTACGCGTTCACATATAAGAAAATGGGTTCGTCGCAACGATCGAGACAAAGCAAACGGGAAGAGTAAACCCCTAGAAAATGAAATCAAGAGAGGCGCCAAATTTGAGATCGGCGGAGAAATGGGGTTCAGTTCAGTCAGTACCTGGGAAGCGGCGGAGAGGAAAACACGCGGCGGAGATTACGGCGAGAGAGGGGGGGGAGGTGGGGGGTAGAGAGGGGGGAGAGTTTTGGATTGGTGGGAATGGGGAAGCGGAGAGAGTGAGGTGGTGTGAGAGAAAGGTCCGATCTTGGAGGGTCACGCGGGAGGAGAGAGAGAGTTGGGTGGCGTGCGGAAACTGTAAAAAGTGCAGCTTTTATGGCTCGCGGCTTTTAATATTATCCGATCGATGGCGTTGGTGGTGCACCATAATGTTGTCATCTGCATCACAGATGATGTTGACGACGACGATGAAGATGGAGGCTTTTTGTTGGGCTCAAATGAAAATAATTTGGGCTTACAACGCTTGCAGTTTTGAGTGAGTACATTTTCAGTCTGTACTGGGCCCAGTTTAGACCCAAACACGTGTTTATTTTATGGGTGATACTTATAAAGGGTGTGATATTCATACAACTTTTTTTACTTCTCACACTTTTTGTTAATTTTTGTCATTTTATTTTCTTCAATACATCAGATCCGATAGTCAAAAATTAAAAGCGTGTGTGAGAAGTAAAAATGGTGTGTGGATATCACACATCTGCGACTTATACTGGTCTAACCAATTGTTAGGCTTAGCCTACTCCTCCACCCACCCCTTTAAAACACTTCCACCCGTCTCAAATCCCCTAGGAGATAGTGGATTAAATCTCCTCCCTCCCCCCAAAACTCCTCCATTCGAATCCACTAGGCTATGGGGGAGCCTAGTTGCTCACCTAGGCTAAAACCGACTAGCCTAGCCCCTAGGCCTTGTGACTCAAGGCTGACATCAGCTACAACTAAAAAATTATAAAAAATTGGTTGACATCAGCTACAACTAAAAATTATTAAAAAATGGATAAATCGCCAAAATGGTCCCTGAGATTTGCATAACTCATCACTTTGGTCCCTGAGATTACAAATTGATAAAAGTGGTCCTTGAGATTGTCCACCATCCATCATCTTGGTCATTCCGTTAAAAACTCTGTTAAGTGTCCCGGAGCCATTGGCCGGAAGTTTAGGCAATTTTCAAAGCTTCGTAACTCAATCATTTCTCAAAATGAAGATAGGAAAGTGTAGAATAAGATTTTACCTATTGCAAAGCCCAATGGTTACCAAAGATGGCCGGAAAATAGCCTCAAAGTTGACTGGTCCGAGTGAAAACTTGAAAACTCGCCGGAAACTGGGTAAATTTTAAACTCTCATAACTTCTTCAATACACAACAAAATCAAGTGATTCAAAAACAAAAATCATACTTCTCGACGAGACAAAGAGAATGGTACCTTTTTTTTATGACTAACTCACCATAGTTTGGCCGGAAAACGGCTCGAAAGTGGCTAACTCGAGACCAAGATAGCCATTTTCGAGCAGTTTTCCGACCAAACCACAGCGAGTTAGCCTCAAAAAAGGTACCATTCTCTTTGTCTCGTCGAGAAGTATGATTTTTTTTTTGAATCACTTGATTTTGTTGAGT